CCTCCTGCCCTTTGCCATGGAATGACCCCTCTCTGGGATCGTCCTGCTTGCGGTACAGAGCAGGGAAGGGAGAAGAGGGGTGCTTATGTCAGGGTGCCCCCCCTCCTCCTGTATTCTATCTCCACAGAGCAGAGAGGGGGCACAACAGGGCTTGGGATGGAGGGAGTTTGCTGGGTGCTTCTGAGTGTGGTGCAGGGCTAGGACAGGGGTAAGCCTGCGTTAGCCTCACTGCATCACCACCCAGGAGCCACCTAAGGTAAGCAGTGTCCAGCTGGAGCCAGCGCCAATTATGAACCACCTCCTGTGCCTCAAATCCCTGCCCCAGGCTCAGTTCAGAGCCCCTCATACTCCAAATCACTTAGCCCAAGGCCAGAGCCTGTGACCCAAACCTCTGCCCCTGCCTGATGAAAGGGAGGGAAAATAGGGGTGGAAGGGAGGGAGGGAGGATGGAGTGAGCAGGGGGTAGGGCCTCGGAGAAGGGGCACGAAGGAGGCGTGGCAAGGGTATCTGGGTGTGAGGTAGATCTTGGATTGCACTTAAATTCAAAAAGTGATCTTGTGCCGAAAAAAGGTTGGAAACCCCTGTATTAGAATGTCTCTCACTCTGATAAATGTAACATTTAGTTTCAGGTTCGAATTATATTCTGTAAAGTCCTTTATCACTTTTCTTAATTATTGCACAAAAGCAAAGGTGGTAGCCCTTCAGAAAGTGTAATATTCAACACACACCAACTTAGCTACAGCCTTTTTCTATGTCTGCAGTCTTACAAAATTAGTAAATACATTGTCCCCTTAATAAAAAACAAGACACTAGACGTATTTTTTGCCAGTGAAATAATGAAGGTAGAAACAAAGGTTCATAATAAATCAAATACAGTTATTTTAAAATGCTGAACTGCCAAAACTCATCTTTTGAACGTGTTAATTTTAAGTACAAATTGCTGTGTCACATCATAAACAAACTGGTGCAGGTATGCTGCATCCTATTTAAAAATACTAGTTCATTTATAATTGGACACAGTAGGGCTGTCTTAGTTTTTACTTGTTTGTTTGACCTGTAGCACAACTAACAAAGGGGTCATTAAACAAAATACAGAAAAGCCTAAACACTAGGGAAAAACTTGAAATGAAAACGTTGAAGATCTATGGGCCACATTAAGGTCTTTCTCCCTCCTAACTCAACTTCTCCTGCTGCTCACTCATGCAGGGAGATCATAATTCTGTGCTTGCGATATTTCCACGGCAACACTAATGACAATGATGTCACAGACTCAACCCTGACTTCACTGCAGGATCAAGTACGTGAAGCAGATGGAATGCGAGAGAGAAAGCCCCTATTTAAACATAATTCTCTTTCATGGGAAAGAAAAGGGCATTAGCAAAGAAACAGGTGACTGGACCTTGTTTTGATGTAGGATATATTCAAAACATTATCATAGCATGAAAATCTATTTAAAGGCAAGACTTACAATACAGTGTAACTGTCAAGTTAGTTAGCCTTATAATAAACAGAACGGAAAAGCTCCCTGTTTAGTAAAACAAATCTGTGCTCAGTTTTTAAAGTGGCGTTAGAGAAAATTACACATTCATCTCTTGTTACATTTACAATATTCCCTTAAATAAATTCAGACATATTTATTTGACATATTACTATTGTACTCATAATGCCACAGGCAAACACAATGACAGGTCTCTGCTCTGAGGCATTTGTGATTTAAATTAGACTTAATACAAGAGGCAATCTAACATGATATCCAGAGTGTAGAAAGATGATAATTACAACATACAAATGGCACCCAAAGAATGGAGATGGGAACTGCACCTCACCCACTAGACCTTTCAGGAGTTTCAAAAGGCCTCAATTCTCTCTCCAATCCTATTTAGAATCACTATTCAGCCACTACATAAACTGGTAAGAAAAAAGAGACTTATGTACCAACAATACATAGATGACACAGCTCTACCTATATGACAACCACACCATGCAACATAAAACATCTCATCTAGGCACTGAACTAAGCTCATGGATTAAAAACAGCTAACTGAAGTTCAACATATGCAAGACAGAGGTGGGCAAAGGAAAGCACTCTGACGAGACCGCATGCATGGTGCACTCTCTTCTAGTGGAAGGCACACATCTCACAATTCATAAGTTCAGCCAGGAGTTTTGGGGGTGTTCCTTGATTGCTCACTGATGCACTCACACAGCAGCATCCACAAGTAATACTTTCCAACATCTCTAGCTGTCTAGAAGTCTCCAAAGACAGCAAAGAGGATGGGGACCTGACCTAATATTTATTCATATCTTTGTCATATCATATCTCCCATCCAGACTACTGCAGTGCAGTATAGCTGGGCATGAAGCCTTCAGCACACAGGAAATTCCAGCTTGTACAGAACACCGTCGTATATCACCTCATCACAGGGGCTGCTATGAGCACAACAAATCTGTCTTCTGCTCTCTGCAGAAGTTTCCCTATAAAACAGTAAGTCAAATTCAAAGTTCCTGTCTTTTGCTTCCAGGCATCAAAAGACTAAAAGTCTAAAAGACTACCAAAGCAGGTACAAAAAAAAACTATGGACCATAAGGATCAAGTTCAGTGGACTGAGCTTTTCTTAGGGGCAGCTCTGAAACTGTGAAATGAATTCCTTCAAAAACTATGGACCATCACACCTACCAAACACTACCAAAAGGCCTCTGCTACACTAGACACACAGTTCTCCCCCTGAGGAGAGGATAAGAGAGAGAATTAACCACACAGATGTTAGCCATGTTGATTAACCCACCACTGACAAATGCCCAGATTCTATGGTGACAAGGGAGATATACAAATGTATAAGGAATAGAAATGTGTGTGTGTGTGTGTGTGTGTGTGTGTGTGTGTGTGTGTATATATATATATACACACACACACTTGTTAAGTACCCAACCTATTGCTTCCTTTTAAAGAATACATATTAATGTGTAAAGATTTGGAGTGAGGACAGGTATAGAAGAATAATCAAAAGATAATACTTTCTGAGGAGAGCTTTGAGAATATGAGAAGAGCAAAACAACCTGGCACCCAGTGCCAGGAGCATACTCAGTGCATAAGGGGCTCTTGCAGAAGACAACCAAAGGGATATTAAGATGACCTGAAATAGCACACACATTAGAGCTGGAGAAGTGTCAATAAACTCATGTCAGGTACAAGCAAAAGCCAAACCTTGCACTCCTTAAAGTGAGTACAGTGAGTTTGAATGTGATGCAGAAGGGGAAAGAAAGCCGGTGGAGGATTTGACCAGGTGAATAACATGTATCTGGCAACAGCACGCTGGATAAACAGGATAGACACACTGGATAGACTTGAAAGATAAATGAAAATCGTGATCAGAAATGAAGATGCTGTAGTAGTCAAAGCAAGAGATGACAAGTGCATGGCTCAAGGTTCTGGCAGTTGGAAGAGAGAAGGGGCAAAATTTCAAGATATCAGAGAGAAAGCACCAGAGAGATTAATTGGCAGACTATATCTAGGGAAGAAAGAAACCAAATGTGACATGGAAGTTGCAAGCCTGGGTGAAGAGGAAGCTGAGCTGAAATGTGACTGGACATCCAAAAAGAGATGTCAGATAGCCAGTCGCAAAATAAAGACAGGACATGGGAGAGCGATCAGGCATGGAGAGCTTTATCAGGGTCTCGTTATCCCATAAGATGAGAATGGACAGAGAGTTACCAAAGAAGAGAGTACAGAGAATGGGAGATGACCATGTAGTTGCCTCTACTGGAATTGTGAAGAGGAGCAATTAAGAGATGAAGCAAAACCAAACTTGTGGAGAACCATAAAAGCACAAAGAGGGAGACAAGCAGACAATTGTATGAAGGAAGCTAACTGGTCAAGGAATATAAAGATACAGAAGTCACCCAAAGACTTGACCAGCAACAGAATATAACATACTGCCTCTATGAAGGCAACTGCGTAAGGGTGAAATGGGTGGAAACTACCATGCAGAGAGGATTCATAGAAAGTCAAAGTAGCTGAGGCTTTGGCAACAGACAATTAATTCAAAAAGCCTGAGTATTAATGAGAGAAAGAGTATACACTGACAGTTGGAAAGGCTGTAAGAGTTAAGGAAAATGACTAAGAGTGGAAAAACAGCACTGTGCTTAGAAGCAGAGGAAGTGGTGGACAGTAAGTGAACAAGGAAAAATAGGGGAACCAAGAAAAACCAGTGGGGATGAAGTCAAGGCAGCATGTGGATGTCCCAGAACATGTAAAACTAGTCAGATGCAATGATTCCTGTTATCCCTCATTAGAAAATTTAGACAATTCTAGTCAGTACTTTTAACTTCAACATGAGAAATCGTGTATTTTCCTACACAGAAGTAGTAACAAAAAGACTTGTTCAGATAACTATGACTATAATCTTGTTAGAACTCGTGTAGCTCCCTCCCTCTCACCAGAGTGCTTGCAGAAGTGTGAAACTCATTGACAATATCAATTCGAGTCAGTTCACAATGCCATTTGCATCATTTCAAAATTGTGTCAGTAAAAGTTATTTTCTGCTACTTGGATATTTTCTTTCTTCCTTCAACATTGATTGTTAAAAGAAAAGCTCCAAAGGGAGAGAAGGAGAACTCAAAGAACTGAAGTCCCAGTTCTGAGACATACCTCTAAAAGGAAATAACTTATTGACTCTACATGTTATGGACCAAAGATTATAGGAATCAAAATGGTATGTTATGGACCAAAGATTATAGGAATCAAAATGGTATGTCTATGTAACACAAACTACTATATCAATAATAAACTGTTTGTTCTAAATGCTTGCCATTCTAGCAAAAGAATATTAACTGAAAAAAGATATAAGAATAATAGCAACAAGCATTAACAAAATTCTAAGCTATCAATACTTCAAAGCATGAGGTGACAAAATAGAGAGTACATGAGAACTAAATAACTGAATAGGGTCTTTTCCATCCCTTGTTTCTATAAATGTATGACAACAGTTGGAGTACATTACCTTCATTTTCAGAAGCCTGGCATTTTACCTTGAGTACCAAATCAAATGTACTTTCTGGATTTTGCCTGGAAATAAAAAAACAAGTCAATTGATTAGTCATATAAAAATCACAAACAACACACAAACAGACTGATCTAGATTATCAAATCTTTTCTACAGTGTCAATAGTGTTATATCCTTTGCTCTCTATGGCTACGTCTACACTGGCCCCTTTTCCGGAAGGGGCATGTAAATTTCACCAGTCGTCGTAGGGAAATCCGCGGGGGATTTAAATATCCCCCGCGGCATTTAAATAAAAATGTCCGCCGCTTTTTTCCGGCTTTTAAAAAAGCCGGAAAAGAGCGTCTACACTGGCCCCGATCCTCCGGAAAAAGCGCCCTTTTCCGGAGGCTTCAAAGTAGGAATAAGAGCCTCCGGAAAAGGGCGCTTTTTCCGGAGGATCGGGGCCAGTGTAGACGCTCTTTTCCGGCTTTTTTAAAAGCCGGAAAAAAGCGGCGGACATTTTTATTTAAATGCCGCGGGGGATATTTAAATCCCCCGCGGATTTCCCTACGACGACTGGTGAAATTTACATGCCCCTTCCGGAAAAGGGGCCAGTGTAGACGTAGCCTATTTGACTGAAGCTTGACAGTCACCATACCAATCATTTAAAAAAGTCACTGCCAATGGCATTTTAAAGGACTAACTCTTGTAAACAACAATTCAACCAGTGAGAAAAATTACTCTAATAATTATAATTACATTTGCTGGTTGATAGCTCTTTGCCCAGCCCTAGCCTCAGTTTAAATAATTATTTGAACAGAACAGTCACAAATGAGTGCCATTATTAGCATTCTCTGTCCGTGAATAAACTTATACATTTCAGTAATTTCTTGATTATGTTAACAGTTGCATCTGAACCTAATTTATTTTCATTCTTCTGAATTATTTATATCATTATTTTAATGAGCAATCTACTACAGGTTGAACTTCTCTAGTCCAGCACCCTCAGGACCTGACCAGTGCTGAACCAGAGAATTTGCCAAACCATGGGAGGTCAATATTGTCTAGTAGCATTACCAACACTTCTGCTGCTTACTGGGCTCTTAGAAGACATTTGGAGGTAAATTAGCACTAAATAACAGCACAGAACAAGAGCCAAGACTGAGAGCCAAGCCTGTTGGGACCACCAAAAACATGATCCCAGCCATGAAAAGTGGACATTCCGCTAACTAAAATCATGCCAGACCATGTTGCCAGACCAGAGTGCCAGACTAGAGAGTTTCAACTTGTACTTATATTAAATGCAAGAATTATAACCTCAACCATATCAATTAGTTATCTAAGAAACCACATGAGGGGCCCAGGTTTGAACTCTTTTCTTGAGTAACTTTCCTACTGAAGTCAGCAATTCTCCACAAATAAGGAATTCAAGACTGGGCTCCAGGTTTCTAAAATGATGCATATAAAGCATATCACAGATTGATAGTACAATACATGTTTTTAAAAAAGTTTTAGGGGGATTTTGGACTGGAGGGAAACTTTCTAACTCATCGGTTACTTAATATATTTTCTATCATTTATTTTTTCATCAACCATTTATGATATACATTTTTATTAAAACTGAAATACTAAATTTCTGAGCATCAATCATATATCTTACCACATCATGTTACTTCCGCACCTCACTTTTTAAATTATTCAGTTGGAAAAGAGGATCTTAAATGAGCTGGTTCTGCAGATATGGGGCTAAGCTTTGCTCTCAGTAATACCAATGTAAAGTCATATTACTGGAGACTTACAAGAGTGTAACAGAAAATATGATTGTTTCTCCTCTCAACTAGCAAAATCAAAATTAGTCTAATTAGAGTTGCACTCATTTAAATGAGAACGAAACTGGTAAGAAAGTGAAAACAGTGGAATTCCTGTACCATGAAAGGGTTCGATTAAATTTAATCCAAGGTGTGTGTTTACTCTTGTCTCTCATTTTTTGTCCCTTCCTTAAAGGAGTGGAAAGTAAGAATGCTGGATTTAATTCATCCATTTCTATCAAAACTGTGTCTCAAATACAGGATTAGGACTTCAGAGTTCAAGTTAATTGAATTTACAGTCAATGACACAGCATGTGAAAATGTGTTTGCTCCCTTCAGTACACAATCACAAAGTCTGTTTCCTCAGAAAAGTTCTAGGTTTATTCTTCACCTCCCACATACAAGGTGTTGCTTAGACTTAGACGTGTGAAGAAATATGTCAAACTAGTCTGATGTATGTCAGACTGATTCTCATTTCTATAAAGCTACTCAACAGCAGCACACTTACTCATCATAGATCACTATACATTTACAAAATACAGATTTAATGTCTCATCAGTTACCAAATTAAGGAAGTCAATGGGACTACTCACAATAGGCAAAAAAAATTAACTTCACCAAAGTTACTATCAACCCAGCTAGGTTACATTAACATTCTCCCAAGACAGAATTATTCTGTTAATGTTTTGAAAAATATAGTCATTTTCTTAAATAATTAAAGAGAAAGATGTTAGATTCCATAGAAGAATATTTATCAACATCCACTGTTTTAATGTTATTAGTTTTAAGCACTATTTTTGTGGCTGTTACTCAAAAACAGGACTCATTCACCTGTAATTTTCACACATATGGCAGGCATATTTTTAAATCCCTATTTATTGTCAATAGATACAAAGAGACAATCAACACAGAAGCATAAATATAAAAGTTTGTTGGGTATTGGTTTTTTGCAATCCACCTGATAACAAATCACCATGGACAGTTTTCTGAGAAGTCTAGTAGATACCAAGCACTGGGCTGATACTGACTTCCCTGAAGTTTAAAGCCATAGGCTCCCAGAGGCAGAAACAATGGTCCATTCAGTCCTCCCACTTTTAGGGCAGACTCCCTCAGTGGGATGGAGATTATTATAAGGCTCCATCTATCTTTATCTTCTCCTCTGGGGGATAAAGGGTTTCCCAAGCGGGGCTCACTGGAAGGTGCATGTCTCCGAGACTGATTAAAGTGAGTGTTTTACAGCCTCTCCCCGGGGGTGACAAGGCCGGGAGAGATTTCTTCGGGGCAGGGAGTTGACAAGCTCTCCTGGTGGGGAGGGCTGCGGCATTCACGGCCTCTCCACTGAGGGCCGGTGACTGGGATGGGGGGCCGGAGGGAGGAGCCCACCAGCTGCCCACGGGGAGGCAGCCAGGGTGCCACCTGCGGGGGAAGCGGGCTTGCGGTGCGGACTCCCG